CGCGACCAGTAGGGTACACCAGGTTGAAGATGAGGCAGTAACTCATCGAGGAAGACACTGAGAAATGGTAGCGCTATGTCGTGAATTGGCAGAAGTTAGAATTCAAGGACCATTGGATCGGGTCCCAGTGGCTCAGTGGTCTACGAGCTTACCTTGTGACCAGAAGGTCCTGGGCTCGAATCCCGGCGGATGCGTACTGCTGAAGAGCCGCAAACTAGGACGAAACAGCTGTTCATTACTCCCAGGTTATTTAATGGTTCTCTAACTGATGTCAGCTAATGATGAAATTCTTCATACAATTAAAAAATAATCTCACTGGAGGACTTTTTGTTCCTTCGTTTAACCTTGGGTCGATTATGAACTAATCAGAACATTTTACTGTCCACTAACCTAGTCGACTTTTAATACGGTTAAAGATGTACAAATATGACGTGTTATTGCATAATAAGAAAGATCTTAGCTTTTGTCATTACAGATGTAGCTATGCCCAGGTTAAACAAATAATATTAGAGGGAATATGTGTAATGGTTGAACGCATACGTGTAGCTGTACCAGCCACGACACCTGATTAAATTATGATACCCACATGTCAATTCCTGGTACGGAGAGAAAATCTGAAGGAAGTCATCTTTTGCAATCGTCTGTGCGGCATCCTTTCAACTAAAGGCAGTCAACAAGGATGCGGATATTAAATTCAGAATCAAAACGTCAAGGCAGACAACATTTATCACTCAGAAACTAGTTTGAAAATCTTCTACACTCAAGCACATGCAATAAAATTAGGATTTTCAACACCATTTCCTAGTCAGTTTTTCTGTGTGGGTCAGAGACTTGGCTTGTGAATCACCAAAAGCATTTCCAACAGCCATTCGCAGAAGTTTGATCAACACCTGCTTCACTTGACTCCCTATTGAAGATCAGATTGCCAGCTGGCCAGAAAGAATTAGCAACAAGGAACTTTGGGAATGAACCATGGAATAGCATATTGCTCAAAAATTATCCTGGAGAGAGTGGAGATGGAATGGACACGACAAGTCAGTCGTGGTTCCGGAAACTGCATGAAGGAAATCACGTGAGAGGGAGATAAAAGTCTATAGGAAATGGTGGAGCCAGGTAACAACGACTGAAGAGAACAGGATGAGTAGCAGATGTGTTGCTAAAGCCCACTCGTAACTAAAAGGATCATTACTAATGATAATAATGGTAACATATTGGAATGACAGTCTTTTTGATATAGTTGTGTTCTTTGATTGGGATGGTTTAACCTGTGAAGCTTTCATTGCCTTACTAGGCAACATCCTCAGTTTGAAGTGAGCCTTTAAATTTTTCCACGAGTTTATGAGTTCATTGACCACAACCAATCACGTCCAGCGTCATCAGGAGAGATGACTCATAGGGAAATCCAAAAGCTCACTTCAAAATTCAGTATACGCTGAATATGTTGCCTAGTAAGGCCATGAAAGCTTCGCCAGTTATTCATCCAACTCAGACAACGCAACTATATCAAAATCACCCACATTGAGCTATAAATCTTCTCCTTTATATCTGGAATGTTAGTCGTACTGTACGACTGTCAGTAGACAATTGTCAGTCAACTAAATAATCACCCTGTTAATTGACAGAGTAAAATTTTCAGTTTCACTTATTTTCAACATTTCAGTAATTTGAAATCTTCAACTAGCTTTTTCGTGAGAATATTTTTTGATAAATTATGATCAAGACACTTTTCAGTAAAGATTTTATGAAGTCCACTCACTCACGCATGTATGCACGCGCGCAAACACTTGAATTCGCACTTGAGAAACTGACATGTGAGAAAATAAATAGAACGAACATGTAATAATTTACATAAAACTTATTCATTTTTATATAATTTGTCAGTGAACACAATGATAAAAAAATTAAAAGCGACATAGACTACACGATCATACGAACGAACAGTGAACTGTAATTTGGAAGTCTATAAAATATCATTACTACATGTATTTATATATATATATATATATATATATATATATATATATATAACAACAGAAGACAAGGTCAGGCAACAGATCGTTTTATTACAGAAATCAACACGTATTTATATAAATTTCATATAAGTTATTATAGCCTAGTCAAGTAGACTAACACAGTCTTCTGATTGATTCTTTTCGAGTTCCTCGGAAAGTGGAGCCATCTATCTGGGAATCATATTTGCCCACGTTTAAATTTGCTGTGATTGGTTGTTGAAACAGCCTTGTTCATATTTTCTCACGGCCCATATTAGTGACCTAGACATTGACGTAGATTAATGTCAACCAATTGGCTAGCAGGCTGCTCTCACCACAGTAGTAATGGTAGATTACATAATTCTGTCCGAACAATATATATATATGAAAATAAATCTGGAAATCTTGGTCACTCAGCCGGCATCAACAACGAAATTCGCTCGGATTTTCAATAAAAAACAACATCAAGTCAGTCAGCTCTTCTATACGGATCAGAAACTCGGCGGGCGGGTCACAAAGAATATTTCCAACAGCCTGTTGCATGCAGACCTTTATCAACCAACAACTGTCTTCGCTGGCTCTATACTGAAGATCAGATGGCCGGACCGGAAAGAATCACCAACAATGGGAAACTATGGGAACAAACACACAAAACAAGAACAAACCAATCGCCAACCAACAAATATGCAGGAGAACGTGGAGATGGATTGGACACTAACTCGCTGAGGAGGGAGGCCGCTGGGTGACATCGCGTGCGCGTCAGGCTATTCCTCGAGTGGAACCAGGCCGAAAGGGAAGCACGCGGCGAGTGGGACGTCAGTGGAAGGGTGACATGGAGGAGATCGTGTGAAGAGTTGAGGAGTTGAAAGAGTATGGACTAACATGGATGCAGGTGAAAAGTACAACAGAAGACAGAAAGAAGCAAAAGGAGACGTACAGTTGAAGCCCTATGTTTCACTAGGAACCAAAGGGAACAATAAGATATATATATATATATATATATATATATATAACTGTTCAGAGTTTTAGTTTTTGGGTCACCTCTTACCGCCTTCACCTCACCCTGCCAACTAATCCACCAGAATATAGCTGAATGCATTGAGTAGAATAGATTTGGCAGTGGAATTATGAAGATAAAATTGATAGGGTGTTTATTGCCCCCAACAGACATATATCAAGGAGTACTACCCGAGAGTTTTTTCGTCCTAGTATTTGACTCTCAACCAGTACGCCCCCACGATCTCCCGGTTACAAGCCAATACCATTCAAACACTGGGACCCAACTGAAAGACCAACCCATGAATTCTGACTTCCAACAATTTGTGGCGAGTATTTATCCCCACTTTGGACCTGTCGGTGGACTCCACTAGTCACAAATTCTGACTACACCTCCAGAAAACGTCATCGTGTAGCCAGTCACTCGGGCGTATCACACTAATTTTCAACAGCCGATGACATTTGTGAGTGGATGATATGACATGTTTGGTAGCTTTGTTTGTGGGGATTAGATTTGTTCCAGGTTCGACCACAGACTGATGTCATTTAGAGAACCACGCTCTTAACTCCTCAATGTAGGATGTTAGACGAACACTTTCTCAGAAATCGACAAGATATGGGGGGATGACCAAGCAAGGTCAAGACTCAGTCTGTGACAAGGAAAGCTTATTAAACAAAATTCATCTGCGTATAGAGTCAAAAATGGATGTGTAGTCAAAGAAGGTACATCGAACATATCTGGCTCCTTTGTCTAAAGACGAAGCGAGATTATGATGGTAGACAGCAGTAATTACAGCACCTAAAGTACTCCTGCCCTGTTCAGGGTCATTAAAGCTTTTTGAAAAGAGTTCAAGGTTGAGTTAAAGTAAATTTTTCCATCAATGCAAAAGAAAAGAGAGGCAATAACATAAATGGACATAACATAAAAAGGACAATCAGTCTGATAATGGCTACACGATGCCACTTATTGGAAATGTCTAGGAGTACCAAAACAGATAAAAAAAGCCTTATCTTAATATGAAACATCTGTTAGAAGAAAGAACAATGAGCAAATACCTTACTTCCTTGAGAATGCCATCTACTATATAACGACCAGACGACCTGAATTATGAATATATGAACCAGTAGTATTAGGAGTTATATGGATAAACATTGAGGTGTATATAGCTTGTCGACTAAAGCATTTACCAGGTGGTTCTCAGGTAAAATATGACTCCACCTCTGATTTGATTTATTCAACTGGCTTGTGTCAGAAACACTTTACGAAAAGTACAAGGTGCAAACGATTCGCACTGAATAGACAAGTCTGTATCACACAATTATTCCCCTTGTATGAATTAAAACAAAGCAAACACAACGAATGTTATGAGACCATCGTTTATTTCATCGTCGGACTCTCATCAGCTGCTTACAACCTAAACTTTCATTGTATAAATTCACAAAGAATTCTGTCATACTTACAAGGCTTAACATGATTTCTATTAAAAGAGACACATGTTAATAAACAATATACAGGCGTTCCATTTATATAACTTACTTAGGAGGTCAAAGTTACAACAATGAGAAATCTATCTTTATTCAACTCGATGTTAACTAATAATACTATAAGTCAGTTATATTGTGGTGAGAGTAGGCTGCTAACCAATTAGTAGATATTAATTTACGTCAATGTCTAGGTCACTAATATTGGCCGTGAGAAAATATGAGCAAGGCTGATTCAACAACCAATCACAGCAGACTTAAACGTGGGCAAATAAGATTCGCAAATATATGGCTTAACTTTCCGAGAAACCACAAAAACAACCAATCAGAAGACTATGTTTGTCTGCTTGAATAAGTTATAATAATGTACATGAAATATATACATAAATACGTGCTGATTTCCGTAATAAAAGGATCTGTTTCCGGCCCTTGTCTTCTGTTGTTACAATATAATGATTATCAATAAATATTAAAAAAAAAAGAGGAAGACACTAGGATAGACAAAGAAATAATATAAAGTCTCAAACTAACCTTTGATATAGGGACACACATAATAAGGGTTAATGCCATAAGGAATTTACTTTTCACTAAATCACTGATTACTTGTCTACATCCCTAGAAAAAGAAAATACCAAAAATAATTTTTAAACAAAAAACAGACACAAAAATTATTTTAATAATGGTAGCGGTCAAATTACAAAATTACTGGTAGAAATAAGAATTCATGAGCTGGCCATTGAATCGGGCAGGTCCCAGCGGTTGAATGGTGCATGAGCTTGCCTTGTATCCCAAAGGTGCTGAGTTCGAAACCCAGGGGGGTGTACTACACTTTCGCCTGCCTCCATGGATAATATGAACAGTCAGAAACCTAGTAGGATAATTCAAAGATATCTCGTCCAACAGCACTTGTCTTCTAAGGCGGTGAGATATTGCTTTACGTGTTGCGTTTACTTCAATTTATGAGGATTAAAGAACTTGTTAACCTATTACCCTACATTTGTGCTCAATACTACTCATCATCTGGGGATTCAGTTCAAACAAGCAGAGTGGTGGATAACATCATGTTTGACTGACAAAGACTGGTACAGGTTGAATAGCTGGACTATACCTTACCTAGGTAAGAGGAAACACTTTCCTACGCGGCTCAGACTGACAGTAAGTGACGTCGTCGTATGGTGTTACCACCTTACGCTTTGATCACACCCAGCTACTGAAAACTAATCCACTTTTAAGGAACATTAAATAGTAATAATAATGATTTGAAAAGAATGGATACTGAACAAAGAGTACTCTTTCGATAACCTGTTCTTCATCAGGCTCTACAGTTATATATACATTATAGTGAGTGAATGAATTAGTTTTATGAACAACATTAATGTTTCTTTAAATAACATCTAATCAATAATATTGATAGATTACAGCTGAATAGCATCAACATAAAATAGGCTGAATGTCAGAAAAATTAAGAAGGATAATAATACAAATTGATGAATTTATAGTCTCTACTGAAGGCCGGGACTGTTAATGGTTTTCACTACACCTTAACTTAGACATACTGTGAGATGTTCTCGAGTGAGCACAAAAAATCAAGTTTCTAGAGCAACGGCCAATATAACTCGCTCCATCTAACGCGCAGTTGAATCAGTAGATACAATTTGAAGTGGCTAGTCTAGGTACTTCGTCTTTCAGTCGAAGTAGCACCACTGGTCGTGTAGAGAATAAGACGTGTAGTTCGCCAGCTTTAAAAGTTCTCTGAACTGATTTTCTTAATTTCCTCTTAATTATCTCACTTGGTGTATCGCCCTTGAGCTGTAGTCGCATATAAAGAGGCTTCTTTTTTTACAGATAGTGAGTAGTCCTTTTCCGCCGCTTTCTTTGTCGTGTTTCTTGACAAATTTGTCGGGATAGCCATTTTCTATCAAAGTATCATATACAATGCTTAATTCATCTTCAATTACTTCTGAGCATATAGCTCTAACTCTGTGGCTGACAGTCTTCACTAAATTTCTTTTATACTTGATAGGAAAGAAGCTGTGAAAATGTGTATATTGTCGTGTCCAAGTACTTTTTCTATGCAAGTTTCTTTTTACGCTACCATCTGGTTTTCATGTAAGTAGGACATCCAGAAAGGCAATTCTGTCTTGGCATTCCTCTTCGTATGTGAATTTCATAGCTGAATGTACTTCATTGAATTCAGTAATTGTTGTACTCCTATCAGAACCATTATCCATATATCGGCAATAAAATGAGAGCTGACTAATAAGGTTGTTAAAAGGTCCATTTTCTAGCTTACTTAGAAAGAAATAAGCCAGAATGGGACCCAATGGGGTGCCCATAGCCACCTCGTCCACTTGTATGTAAAGCGTGCCGTCAAATTTGAAGTTTACATTCATGGTACATATTAATAACAATTCTTTTAAGATTTCAGTACGAATACCAATGTTCATCGACTGGTTACTCACTTCTTCACATAGATAGTTAACCGTTTCTATGAGAGATACATTTGTGAATAACGATGTCATGTCCAGAGATATCATGGTTTTGTCCTTGATATTAATATCTCTTATTTTGTCTACGAATTCAAATACATCTTTGACGCTATATTTCACTGTCTTATCATCCAAAGGTTTGAGAATATTTACTAACCATCTAGCTAGAGCATGGTAGGGCGAATTTCGCATATCAAGTATTGGTCTTAACGGTACCCTAGGTTTATGCACTTTAGGTAGGCCTTACAATTTTGGCCTTAATTTTAAAACGGTACTTGTGATGGAGTTTGGAATTGCGGGCATTTGGAAAAGTACTGCATCCAATTTATTCCCGCAACAGCAAAAAACATCACATAATAAAAGTAGCCAAACTTGAGATAATATCAACGTTTTATTATTTTTATTTATTTTTTTATTTTATTTTTTGATTACAGCTTGATTCCACACTGTATTTTTGGTACAAGTATGGAATTTTCAGCATGGATATCGGTAGCCCAAATTTCGCAGGCCGACCATTGATATCAGGTGTGCGTCGGCAGGAAATCGAACCTCAAACCATGTGCATGGTCGGCGAGAGTCCTAACCACTGTTCCACCGACTCAGATAAGATAACTGAAAAATTGTTAGTGTCAGCATGCATTACAAATACGAGAAGATGAAACAGATAAACCTATTTTATTGTTTAACACTGCCTCTATCACTAAGAACTCTGGCGGGCGGTGAATAGATTATTGTTTTGATTTTGTGTTGGGTTGTGTGACTGGGCATTTAGTCTCTCAGAATGACTTCTATTCCCCTTACTTGATGACATGTAAGGGCAAGACGGCGGGGGAGTTGTAAACACAGAGGATGTTCAGGGTCAGACAATATGGATTTAGACCATTTCTCACATGAGTTCAGGTAGGCGTATGTCGACTATAATAATAATCACTATGGTAGTCACAAGCTGTCTGACTTAGTAGCACACCGCTTACCCCATTAATATCCTTTAATACCCTGTGAAATACGACAAAATCCCTTTTGAGTAGCCCAGAAAAGACTAAGTGGGTTGGGGAAGCGATAAAGAACAATAGGTAAGATGTAAGAGCTAAGAAATTTTGAAAGTGGAGGTTGAGTGATACCTACTTGATTTTCTTAACTTCTTAGCATAGAAGGTTAGAGGGAGCATTTTCCAGAAACAGGAAAGATATGGAATGACCGACCAAGAAAGATCAGACGATAGAACTATACCAGGGTATTTCATGCTTGACTTATTCTCTATATTAGTGCCCTCTTTAAAGCTACAGGTGTGGTGAGAGCTGGTTGTTAGCCAAAATTGGTGGACAGTAATTTACGTCAATGTTTATGTCCCCAATATTGGTTGTTAGAAAAATGAGAACAAAGGCTTTGCGTAGGTGGACAAAGTTAACATATAGATGATCTGACATTCAAGAAACAGCCACAAAGTAATCAGAGGTTAACTTTCTGTGAGAAACAACCAATCAGAGGACTGTGTTTTTCTGCTAACAATAATCTGTAATATGTACATGAAAATCAATAAATATGTGTTGATTTCCTTAATAAACGATCTGTTGCCTGGCCCTTGTCTTCTCTTGTTGCACAAATAGTGCGTTCGTTAACATCACGTGTATTCTTGAAGGTAGAGTTTACTGTCTGATATTCAGAAGGATATGATATAAGACCATTAAGCTTAAACCATTGGCTAAAGTCGGACAGAGAGCTATTCAGTTTACAATAGTCAGTTCAGGAAAGAATCGGCGATGAGACAGTATGATCGTCAACATATTTAACAGAGTCGGTTTCTCCCAAACAGTGCAAGTCATGTAAAAAGAAAGAAAACAGAATCGGAGGCAGAGAGCGCGCGCGCGACAGAGAACAGCACGTTGAAGGACATCCTGGCATCAGTAGGCAAGGTAGAGGAAGATTTCCCTTTATAAACAGTAAACTGCATTCAGTCCCGGAAATAAAAATGTAACCAATTAACAGCCTAGGAGTCGGTTGGTGTCAAGTAGATTTGTACACCTGACTGATTAAAAAACTTGCAGACATATCCCGAATTAATGGAACACAACTAATGAATAATAGAATGAATTAATCTTAGAGAAAAAAACATTTGTGGTAAAAGTCAATAAAATAATACAATATAATGATTACCACTCATTGTATATCCGGAAAAAAAAGTGTGTTCAACTTAATTAAAGTCTATATGAGAAACAGATTTTGTATTAAATTTCACAGACGAATTATGTATGTATGAATGACACAAACACACACAAGTGTACACGCATAGTTGACTAAGCATACTTCTGTTAACAACTGTCACGGAATATAATAAACTATGAATGATTCATAAGATCAGATTTATAAGAGAGAAGATTTGTAGCTGTGGTGGATTTTATTTTATTTCTGTACGTTTTCAGTAGAACATAGGGTTTCAATCTAGAACTTTGAAGCTTCGATAGTAGTGGTTAGTAGTATTTATTTTTTACGGGAGTGGGGTTGCTATCCTCATGACCAACCATCCTTCTTTACTAGCCTTAGAACCAACTTGGCTAAGTTATGCAGTGCACCGGGTGGGGATCGAGCCCAGGACCACATGCATGGTCGGCGAGGGTTCTAGCGCTGAACTGCTGAGGCACAACTTTTAGTCTGTAAGTAACTTAACTGACTTCTTTGATTGGAGGATTTCATCATGAACTGGTACCAGTTGGAGAACCATTGGAAAACCTGAGAGTACTGAGCAGATGCTTCGTCCTAGTTTGGGACTCTTCAATAGTGCATACGTATCGGGGTTCGAAATGGTTCTCCAGCAGATACCAGCTCGTGATGAAATCCTCCAACCAATCAAAAGAAATCCCTACTTGAAAAGATTCATCTGATGCTCACTAGTGACTGGCCCTATTCAGGCAGTTAACCTGGGGTTCTAGTGAGAAGATGTGACCAGTATGGTGCAGCGTATTGAAGGTGAGGCAGTAACTCATCGAAGAAGACATTGAGAAGTGATCGCGATATGTCATGAATTGGTAGAAGTTGCAATTCATGCACTGGCTGGTCACTGGATCGGGTCCCAGTGGCTTAATGGTAGAAGAGCTTGCCTTGTAACCAGAAGGTCCAGGGTTCGAACCC